GAGAAGAAAATTTTTCGGTCGCTACCCGGATTCGAACCGGGACCTTTTGAATGAGAGGCCAACACCTTAACCTCTAGGCACGAGAGCCCCCTGTAAGCTTTGCCATAGTGGAAATCTCTTATTTGTTTGTTCTGTAAACTTTGCCATAGTGGAAATGTTGTTTCTTTATTATGTAAGGCTTTGCTTTTATGGAAAGAAAATCTGATGTATGAAGTGTTTCTCTTTGCAACTAACGAAATACACAAATCTGGCCTTTGAATGTGGGTGGTTTGCGGGTGCTCTGGTATGGTTTGTTACTTCCCTCCTATCAAACATCTACCATCCTCACTTCTCCTTTTTTTTTTTTTTTGTACTGTCTTCTAGTAGTAGCACCTAATCTTCAGCACTTATATGACCTAAATGTGTTGCAAGTGCCGTAAAACACAGACTAGAACATCTTCTCGGTGCTACTGACTGAAGTGTCTTTAGGCCATTCCCAAAGGGGGGACGTTAATATGTTCTTATGCTCAGTAGAATTGTAAATAGGCTGATTCATCAATGTCACGCTCATAACTGTGCCTGAACTGCATACAGGAAACTGCTGCTTTTTCTTTCCTAATCCATGCTATCGTTGTTTTTCCTCTACTTCTTTTGTATGTTTGTCACTCTCTACTAAAACATAAAACATCACGCGTGTGTGCAATTTGCGCACGTTAAAGATCTCTTGGTGGTCCAAAATCGATAAGAGTAGGCTTCGGCTGCCACCCGGACAAAATTGAAAAATTTCCTACCAATTGAAAATGTTTGGTGTGTCCCGCGCGCTCATATGGCCTTAAGCAGTTTCGAGAACCGTAAAATGCTTACCAAAAAAACAAAAATTAACCATCATCTGACGTTTGAATCGTAACATTTTGCTTTGTTTCTGTCTACAGTCAGTATCAGCGGGGCTGTAATGGGCCGGCCGCAGCCTTCTTACAGAGGCTGAAGGAACGGCTGACGAAAATTGGAAGCTTGGTTTCCTACTTCAACGAGACTGGAAACAAAAAAGCTGTAGAAGTCATGCTGAAGGTGCATCAAAATTGCCCGTTCTGTCTGCAATTTTCGGTGTCCGAGAGATAGTAGCCTCGTAGGCCCCAATTACGTGTGCCAGTAAATGTGCACACCTTTGGTGTCCCATCGAACAGGGTTTTGACCTTTAGTGTGCGGCGTGTGCACACCTTTGGTGTCCCATCGAACAGGGTTTTGACCCTTTAGTGTGCGGCGTGTGCACACCTTTGGTGTCCCATCGAACAGGGTTTTGACCTTTAGTGTGCGGCATTTGTGCAAGTTTCGTGCCAATTTTTTTCATGGACTTAACACGAGAAGCGACTACAGTGACAACGAAGCGCTGTCTACAAAGTTGGTGTGTTCTGATGTGGCAGCTCATCCCCTGTGTGACTGACGATACGATGCTCTGTTGTTGTGCCGTCAGCCCATGGTTTTGAACGACGCTCAGTCAGTTTTTTTGACACCATGCTGGGTGGAGTTAGCCCTACTACCTGATCTCGTGGTCTCAACTTGTTCCCGTTGATACAATTATGTGGAAAATTGCCGGTCAGGCAAAGGCCACCCATCCCATGTGGCATGAACAGATCTTCTGAGCTGCAAAAGATAAACTGCGCGTGCTTGTCACTCTTGTCGAAAAAGAGGACTCTTCTGTTACAGAAATTTTGTTCTGGTGGTTTCGTGTTTAACGCTTTGCAGCCACACAGCCAGCAGTTAAAAATAGCCCCATCTGGTCACCCAGCAAGAAGGGTGACAACAACGGTCTTCTCGAGCCTGACGCGGACCAGAACGGATAATTTTCAGCGTCGCATTAAAGTGCTTTAAAAAAGCAAGTACTGTTGGAGAAATAGAAGAGGTCTGTTTTAACCCTAACTCTGGCAAGGGCCGATTAAATCGGCCCATTTCCTGCCATGAAACTGGCAGGGCCGATCTCATAGGACCATATAGTAAACTGCTGCTTCTGCCTTCCAACTAAATATTTGGGGCTTCCTAAAGTGATTTCTGATTGGCTAAAAGGCTAACCTACAACCAATCAGAATATTTCTACCATTCTGGCTTAGGAGAAGAGTATTTTGCTTTCAAAACAGAGGGATGTTTTGAAAGCTTGTTGATCAGGTCACAAGCCACTAATGCCAGTGTAGATCTATCACTTGTGTGGGTCTAAAATGGCCAAAAATCGATCTTTTTTGGATACATTTGAAAGTGAATTGACTAGGGAAAGTAATTCAGACACTGTTAGTGGTGGATTTATTGGTGTTCAGTCAAGATTGGGATTAGATCTGACAGACAATGGGGATACATTACCAGTTCTCATCCTGCCCCGACTTCTCTTTCAAATGGAACACTAGATTCTACTACTTTGGGAGTCTAATAGGGGCAGAAAAAGGAGAGCTATAGAGTAAAGTAGGTTCCTTTTGCTATACTAATTATTACAGACTACCAGCAGATTGCTGAAAACCACATGGTTGTACTTAGAGTGTTTTTATGTTGAGTTTGGTATAAAATTAGCGAGTATCAGCTGCGTTCGAAACAGACCACATGACAAATTGAAACAGTCATAACTCATTACCTGTTCTTCTCAAACCTATAAAACTATACATTTTCTGAAAGGTAATTGAAAAACCCATATTTCTGCTATCTCACATTTTTTATAACAAGGAATACATTAGATTGGTGAATATGCTAATGAGCATGTAAATTTTTTATGTCAGCCATCTTGGATTTCAAAGTTACATAACCCCTTGAAAATAAAATAAAATCATATGTTCAATGGTAAAATATAAAAGTTCATTCAATTATCTTTCAGAAAATATATACTTTTGTAGGGTTTTTATTTGATGCAAGTCCATAAATTTGATTTGTAAAGCATGTGCACGTTTTGGCTGACTGGCCCTGCCATTCCTGTTGAAACCATTTGCCAGAGTTAGGGTTAAAGGGTTTCTCCTACCTCTGTTTCTTTTGTTTGCTTTTTTGTATCTATGTATTTTACGAGGCTCGACTCTTTTTGTGCAAGAGTTTATCAACACAGTTGATCTTGAAATGAAGAAAAGAGTGTTTTTTCTTCTTTTTTTAAAGTTCCTACTGGGTCGATGATATTTCATTGTGCATCATGACAATATGATCTGTACCGTTTTTGTCCATTATTTTTTTTAACCATTTCGGAGTGGAGAGTTGCGTTTTTCCAAGGGACACCATGATGGATGGCTGTGTTCTGAGGTGGGCTCTACAGCTGACGTTCAAGGAGCCTCATACTCCCCGCGAGTGACTTTCCCTCTCGGGCGTGTGCGTGATTAGACGAGGGTTTCTTTTTACATGGTCTGCGTGACCGCTATTGTGACTCATTTATTGATTATATTTATAACTATCGTACGTGGATGGAAGCTGTTTTCTGTGACTTTTTATTTTTTTGTATGTGTGTGTGTTCCCTGAAGGGGAGACATGAATGATCTATTGGTTTTTGTAAATTGTTTAATTTGTAACAATATCTGAACTGACTTTTTTTCTGTATATATATATTGTGTAAATGCTCCCTTCAGTGAGTCGCCATAGAACACTTCGCTACACGTTCCCTTCAGTGAGTCGCCATAGAACACTTCGCTACACGCTCCCTTCAGTGAGTCGCCATAGAACACTTCGCTACACGCTCCCTTCAGTGTGTCGTTACAGAACACTTCGCTACACGCTCCCTTCAGTGAGTCGCCATAGAACACTTGGCTACACGCTCCCTTCAGTGTGTCGTTACAGAACACACTACTACACGCTTCCTGCAATGTGTTCTCACAGAATGTGTTGCTACACGCTCCCTGTCCGTAATGTTCCAGACAATGGGGAAGCAGAGATGTCTGATAACATGACTGTATTGACAAATGAATGAACAGACTCATCATACCTTGCTGTACATGAATGAACCTGTCGTACCTCCTTGACTTTGCTTCTTTTTTTTTTTCGGTATGCACGACAGTAATTTTGACTCCTTTTACTTGGACAGTAATTTTGACTCCTTTTACTTCGACAGTAATTTTGACTCCTTTTACTTCGACAGTAATTTTGACTCCTTTTACTTGGGCCAGAAGAGCTTACTTGCGTCTGTGATGTGGCTGCTAGGTGCTCCTCTGTCATGCTCAGGAGACCCGAATTTGACTCCCCAGTGGGTATTAATTTTTATCTAGTAAGTATCTAAGTCTTTCTGCTGGGATGTTGTATCCCTCTCAACCCTGGACAGGCTTGGTCGAAGCCTACGTCCTAAATGATTTAAATTGTATCAATTGAGGCATAAGAACAAGTACATTTTTTAAGAGAGTGATACTGTTCTATTATGGGCATAAAAACAAGTACTTTTTTTTTTTTTAAATTTCAAAAGAGAGTGATACTGTTCTTTTCAGGGCATAAAAACATGTACATTTTTTTTTAAAATTCAAAAGAGAGTGATACTGTTCTTTTCAGGGCATAAAAACATGTACGTTTTTGTGGCTGGGGTTCAAAAGAGAAAGAAATGTAATAATGTTGGGGGGGGGGGGGGGTTCTTTTACTTTTTTTTCCCTTGCCAATTTATGTGAGATTGACACCATCTGATTAGTAGAAAAAAGAGTGTATGGAAGTGTCCAATAGTGTATTACGTGCAGTCTGACACGTAACTGTTACAGAAATTTCGGGATTATAGATGTACGTCATTGTTCTGAGAGCAATGAGGATTTTAGAAAGAATGATTGTTATGAGTGATGGTGTGGGATCGCGTTTAAGTAATATTAGCGTTAGTCCTATCTTCCTCTGCTCCAATGAGTCATGAGGGACGTGGGCACCTTCTATCCCGTTCCCTACTATGACTGTCTTTACGGAAGTTCCGAAGTGGTGGGTAATGTGATGCTGTTGTGTTGTCAGGGTTTATTAGAGCTGAGGCTTGTGGTTACTTAATAATTTTAACTGATTCTGTCCATTCGCCCCCTGTTGTTGTTGTTTTACTTTTCTAATCTTAAGACATGTTTTTTTTTAGATTGTTGTTGTTTTACTGTTTTAATCTTAGGACATGTTTTTTTATAAATTTTTGTTGTTTTACTGTTTTAATCTTAGGACATGTTTTTTAAAAATTGTTTTTGTTTTACTGTGAAAAAAAAATGTACGCGCATTTTCACGATCTGTTTAAGACATACGGGCTCTTACCGCAGAGGGCTAAATGTTCCAAACTTTTTTTTTTTTTTTTTGTAGATTTTGATCTTCTTGTTTCCTGTTTTGGACTTTCCCCGCGGGGCAGTGCCACTGACTGTAGTGTCTTTAGGCCATTCCCAAAGAGGGGGGGGGGGGGAGGGGGCATTTCTCGTTCAAGAATAGTAGAATTGTAAATGGGCTGACTCATGTCACGCTCATAACTGTGCCTGATCTACAACAGGGAACTGCTGCTTTTTCTTTCCAAATCCTTACTATTGTCATTTTCCTCTACTTCTTTTGTATGTTTGTCACTCTCTAGTGACCTGCTATTTCCGGGGTGCCTTGATAGTCGAAGCAGACTTTGTGCTGTTGAAGCTAGAAAGGTGAGCAGTCTAAGTCTGATTCCCTGTAAAGACTTCTCTGTTGACACCCACCCCTTGGCGCTCATATGACCTTACGCAGTTGCGAGCGCCGTAAAACCCTCTAAAAAAAAGTTTTGGGCTTGTTCTAACCCCATTCCGATGAAGGTGTCAAAGCAACCAGATTTGCGACGCGATAGGTGCCGAGAGCGCTTCCAACTCCGACTTTCCCTTGTAAAACCCGTAACCTAGATTTACATCCCGAAATCTTTGAAAAGAGAGAGAGACAGACAGACAGACAGACAGAGAGACAGACAGACTGATTGACTGACAGACAGACTGACAGACAGACTGACTGACTGACTGACTGGCTGACTGACTGGCAGACTGACTGACAAACAGACAGACGACAGACAGAGAGAGAAAAGGAGAAGAGAGAGAGGGGGGGGGGGCACACTTGCTTTCTTGCTTCTCAGACGGTAGATCTAGAATCTCACCCTGGGCAGTAAGTTATTGGCCTATTTGTGTGCACTCGACCAATGTCCCTCTGCGCGGCTCGGTCGTGAACATAAAGGCTGCCAAAATAATTTTTTTTAAAAATAAATTAAGTGAAATTGTGCTCTGGTTTGGCGTGCCAGAATCGAATGCGTAAAAAATTGTGGGAAATTAGAGTAGAAACTATAGGATTGGTGATCATACCGTCAGGGTTGGTGTTCCTGCCCAGGTTTGCGTAGCCTACTGTAAGAGAGGCGATGACAAATTGAATAATAGCAGCAATGGAAAAGTGCCATTTTCAACCCTCAGAAAGCTTTAATAAACCTTTGTTAAAGAGACTTGAACACAAACCGGGGGGGGGCGCACTACTGCCACTCCGCCGGGTAGTGTTTCGGCTCGTCTTTGATTGTGCTGTTCTTGGCGGTGACTGATTTCGAGGATTTTGAAATTCTTCCTCAAACGCACGATGCCCTTTAAAAATTCATCCCACTTCGAAGGGATGTAGATTCGCATCCACCATTCTTATCGAGAGTGAGAGAGAGAGAGAAAGAGAGAGAGAAAGAGAGAGAGAGAGGAGGGGGGAGAGAGAGAGAGAGAGAAAAGCATGGCCAAAGGGCAGAGAGTCTATTTATATACTCCTGGCATGACCCAGCTGTTTACTGATTGGTCCCAAGAGAAAAACGAGTCGTGAAAATGCACGTAAAATTTTTGGGAGTGCTTATTTGGGCCACATATGGCCTAAATAAGGTAAGGGAGGGGGGTTTAGCTTATTTAGGCCACACATGCTTAAACTACCAGGGGACACCCTTTTAAGGCAACTGAGTTCGTTCCACTTTCATAATGGTGCACCTTTCTCATTTAGTACAGTTTTGTCTCAGTGTACAACTTATATATATCATAATGAATATTGTAAGAACAAAGCACGATACGCAAAGTTTTGCTCAATCTCAATGGTTTGAATGAGGGCCAGATTTTTCCTTCATGGAGGGGCAAAATCTAGGCTACCATTTTGGCACACTTTGGTCAAGTAAAAAGGTCTCCGAATGGACTTCCGGGTCAAATTTGGGGTATAAAAAGTGTGTACACAACGTGGCTGAGTCAAAGTTACACTATCTTTGCCTGGGTGGCACTCTCTCGTACTGTCTCGTAGTAGTACATCTCTCGTACTGTCTAGTAGTAGTAGCCTACATGTAGATGTAGTAGTAGTAGTAGTAGTAGTAGTAGTAGCAAAGATCGAGAAGAATCTTTGGTAGTAGATTCTATCTAGTAGGCAGTTTAGTGAACGTGCACGCGGCAGGGCGAATCGGCCTCGATAAGCCCCGTAGACCTTTGTGATCGGCCACGAAGCCTTGTGTTTTGATGGGTCTAAACAACTTAGTGTTAATCGCACTGCCACATCCGACAGGCCTTTATCTTTTTAAAAGGAAAAGAAATGGTCATCAAAATGGTTGAATTTGCGTGAAAATCGATTCGGTAGAACTGTAACTATTAAAATTTGCTTCTGAAAACAAGTTACAAGGCCATTTTTATAACTCGATGAGATAAAAACTACTGGCTGTATTATTCTGTATAAATTATGAAACTTCAGGACGTATTATTATTTTCCAACATCTTTTGCCGCCTTAGCTGTAGAGGTTGAAGTTTTCACAACACTAATAGATCTAGTAATAGGGCTTTCCGTAAAAAATGCATAGATCTACAAAAGCCGAACCACCGAATCGACCGGTCAGCGACCCGGGCACCCCGCTCTCCCCTGCACACTGTGATAACATGTTGCTTCGGTATAATTATTCAACTATTAATACGTGCTGCTATGGCAATTGGGATGTACTGACTGACAAAGCGATTCACAGTTTTGTTTTTATTTTACCATATATTTGACTTTAATAGTGCAGGTGATAGCTAGATCTAGATCTAGATTCCCTGTCTAGAATCAGTA